CACACACACACACACACACACACACACACTGATCTAAGTACAGTAGTGGGACTCCGTGAAAGTAGGTCTGCTATAATACAGAAAAAGCCTCCAAGGTGCAGATGAGTGAGTGTGTGTGTGTCACTCTGGTGAAGTGTAAAGCCTACCAGAGCAGAAAGTGTACGTGCCATTTCACAGTAACATGTATGTCTGATAGTTTTGGTATGTTTTAAACAAAAGATGGATTTTTTTTTATTTCCATAAATGTTCTTCAGAGTGTGAGAGATATTCTGTGAAAATGTCAGATACTGTGGGTGTTGGTTGTGTTTGTGTGACGTGGCTCATCCATGTGTGTGTGTGTGTGTGTGTGTGTGTCAGCCTCTTTCTGTGTTTCTCCGAGTGTGTGCTCGTGTGCGTTTTCTGTGGGTGTATTTTTGTGGGTTTGTTTGTGTGCGTGCCGTCTGCCCTAAATGACCTGTCCAGAAGACGGAGTGTGTGCCGGCCCGCGGTGGAGCCGCTGCGGTGGCGCTGCTTCCATTAACGGCAGCAATCATTCACGATCTGATGGGCAACAGCCAAAATATTATTTGGGAACACGCTGTTACACTATAATTCATCTCAGCAGTCCGATTGATATAGGATAAGACCCCGGAAAGCTTACAATGCTGAATAAGACTGGTTTCGACACGGGTCACGCGTAAGGCTGCAATTAATGATTTTTCTTTATTTTTTGATTAATCAATTAGTCGTTTGGTCAATAAAATGGTAAAAAATGTTTTTTCGAAAGCCCAAGAGGACGCAAATAGATTCAGCCGACTGTCAGAGGAGTATAGAAACCAGAAATATTCACATTTAAGAAGCTGGAGTCAGAGGCTTTTGACTTTTTTTGATCGCACAGTCTGCGATGTGACTATTGCAACAACATCACAGCGGTTCTTCTACTTCTGAACAGTATTTAGTGTAAGCGTTGGCCCTGTTTTAGTTTGTTCTAGGACTGGGTCGGTAGCTTGTGTTGTATTCAGACGAACACACCATCTACATGGTGAGATCATTTGCCATTTGCAGCCAACAGAACACTCAAGACATGATGCACTCGTATCTCACAAGGAAGAGTCGCACAAATACAACCGAACATGTTCGCACACGCCCGTTTACCGATAGCAGTCTGACTCTCATCTACCGGGGAATGCTCACACAGGTCAAGGTCAAATCAATCCGATACAAGGTTCCTCAAAGATTGCATTAAAGGTGATCGGCAAAGGTCAAAAGTACCCCATGTTTTCTTTTTTTATTCGCCATCACATCACTGACTGGGCTGAATGTAGATTAATTTTCGCATTAAAGTTTTGTGCAACCTGCTCCGACGCTCGCTGCCGTCTCAACGGGGGACGAGCAGGAAGAAAGGGAAGCTCGGAGCTCCGTGTTCCTGCAGAGGACAAAGCCCTGCAGAGAGAGAGAGAGAGAGCGAGAGAGACAGACCCAGACAGTCTGCTTGATGATTCACTCTGGATCCCGAACATCATCTCTCGACTGGGCCGACGTTTCTCCATCGCTGCAGGAGCACCCCTTAATTCATCATTGCCATCATCAGAATCATCTGCTTCTTCCGTCCGTTTTTACGCTACGAGCCACCAGTTTGCATTTGGAGGGAAATGGGACAAGCACAAAACAGGAACATAGTGCTGTTCTTTCAGAGTTTCTGGTGACGGCAGATGGTTGAAGGAAAGGAAGGCCGACAGAGATGACGTCCAACATATTCATCCTTTAGTGGACCCCCCTAGGGGCCCCTCGAGGCCATCTCCTTAGGCTCCCATGTGCCTCAATTCCCCCTCCTCCGCTATACTTTGCGCTGCCATTGTCAAGAGCAGCCGAGCCTCAAATTGAGAACACGCTTAGCTGCTTTTTGACTTGCCATTCCGGTCAGGTAGAGGTTGCACAATGAAACGATCAGCAGTCAGCTGGTATCGCAGCCATTGAGTTGACTGACCTTACACGTGTCCTTATGAATAAACGCCTTTCTCTTTGTGGACACCCAGCACAGGAAACCGTTTCTGTTTACTACTTTGTGCTGTCAGAATATGACGCCCTGCCTCCGCTGTGATGAAATTAATTATGGGGGGGGGGGGAAAATCAGAGAATTAAGCATCGACAGGAGACCCAGATGTGTTATACAGTGCGACACCTGAGCTAGTAACTGTTATGGTTTGCCCACTTACCCATTAAGCGTGGCCCAACACCAACAACCTGGCCACCAAATATACGATTAGCATTTAATGACCTCAGTGTGAATCCTCAGATTCCCTGGCAAATGGATTTCTAAGAGGTTTAGACTTTAAGAAGTCTATGAGAAAATGTACCACAAAAGATCTTGCGTTGAGTTTGAATGATGTTTTGAGAGGCCAATGGCCCGCGGGGAAGACAATTAGCTACGCCGCTCAGGTCGCCGTGAGTCCACTGACCCCCAGCAGCACCCTGTCGCCCTTGATCACCAAAATATAGTCATCCCGCTAACCGCTAACTTCACCATAACAAGCAGCATTTGTCCCCCAGCAGGCTGTGGCCCTGATTCCCCTCTCCAGCAGCAGATGTTGTTGTCGAGACCCTTTTGCGAATGCTATAACAGGCCTGAAACAAAGTTTTCCAGTCAGGAGAAACAAACTGAAGACTCCAGATCGCAAAAAAAAGAAAACAGGGAAAATTTATTTTGTGGCGGTACGTGGTCTCGGCACAGCATCTCCATCTTCTCCTGCGTTTTTCCAGAGAGTTGTCATTTAATAGGTCAAGAGGAAACAAACATCCTTTTGTCGTACTTTCATTACTGACGAAAATGAAATACCAGACCAGAAAAGTGTGAAGTGTTTCTGATGTGTAATGCCACAAAAATCGGTCTCTTTTTATATGCAACTAATGGAACAGCATGAGGTAAAAACAAAAGAACAAACAAAATGAGGGATTTTGTTCTTTTAAACGTCTACATTTTGTGTTCTTACACAAACTTTCTCTGCACCTCTTCCCGAAGCTGGTGCCATGTTTACAGACGGGAGCGGCCACACACCGGGGGGGGGGCACACAGCTGTCGGGACAGAGCGGCACGGAGACAACAGGCTTCCAGCTCGGGGGACATCATAAGCTGGATGCGGTTTTGCCGAGAGGCTTAATATAGAGCGCTGATCCGATAATGGACTAAAGTTTATGATCATTAATACTCAGAGGACTGGATCCACGTGTCAATCTGTGCAGAGAGGTGGACGCCACCCCCCCCCCCCCCCCCCTCCACACACACACATTAAATGCATTTCGTGATGAGGCAAGTCCTAACAGCTGGCGAAAGCAAGTGTGTCATTTGCAGCTTCTATGAAGAGGAAAAAGTGACTTTGCCATTCTGCTGCTTTTAAATGCTCTGCACAGGGTGTGTGTGTGTGTGTGCGTGTGTATGTGTGTGTGTGTGTGTGACTTGACTGTAGCTCAAATTTAGTAGCACTGAGATGCCCAACTGAGATCAGCATATTCTGTGTTGGTGTGTTGAAATCCGAGCAGCGCGATTAAAAGTCAGTGCAGAGATGTGAACGGATGCGAATAGAGTGTTATTTTGAGTGTTGATGGAACAGCTACAATGTTAGCGTAGCCTAGCACCGATGGAGCCGAGCGAAGCAGCAATTTCTGCCGTGGTTAACGGAACGTTGTTGGCGTCTACATGGAGGTGTTTTGTCACAAGTTCATTCTTGACCTTGGGAAAAAAAATAAATAAATAAATAAAAAAATTAAAAAAAATAAATAAATAAAAAAGAAGTGCGACAAAATAATCTTAATTTCAAGCGTTTTTCCCCTCGGAGCTCTCAACCGCATCACACAGTCCTCACCAGTGGACGGCATTTGCCGAGTTGTCACGGCTCATTTGTTGTCGATTACCACCCGTTATCACGTGATTCACGGCCCATATTCATTTCCATGACAACAGAGCGAACCTCATCCGCTGATGAAGACTCTGGGATGAGGTTGAAAGCTGCTGGAGAAAAAAACTAGTAAGTGCACCTTGAGTGAAGATTATTTTATTGAAAAGTTGTAACAAACCACAGATATTCCTTCATATCAACACAACAAACAGCATCAGCAACATGACATGATAATCAACAAAAACATTAATAATCAATATGTTTATCGACAGCGGACACAAAGTCAACGACGACATCCAAACAAAGAGTTACGACGCAAGTATCATCAAAGTGGATTACTGGCATAAAAACAATCCAAAAACACAAACCATGTCATCAACACCTGGTTGTCTCGTTATCGTCGACAACAACCGAGATGAACAACAACGTAATCAGCAGGATCAACAACATCATCAGCGAATCATCACAGCAACAAACAAAAACAAAGTTTTCAGCTTCATCAGCGATCCCCACCGACATAACGACTGATGACGTCACCAATGCCATTAACAACAAGAACTACCACCGCATTATGCCGACAAGATCATCATTGGCGGCAACGAGGAGCGGCAACGGCCAATCACAGCCTGAGAGAGGGACTCGACAGAACAGATGGACAGATCAACAGAGGACAAGCCTGCTGCGAGGACTCAAATATCACTACAATGTGGTTACATTTGTCTTTGTGCAAAAGCACACATCTTAGGCGCACACACGCTGTTCAAAACGTGGGCTCTCTGCCCGCTGATGAAGTTGGTTTTGTCACTTTGCAAACAACCATCTTTTGTTCTATTTATAAGATGCTATTTATAAACGATGAATGGAAACTTTCAAATCTGCATCCTGTCCTCACTACGCTGTCCAAAAAAAAGGAAAGTTTGACACAGGGACACACAGCAGGGAGGTGTATGAAGGACTTAAAGAGGGAGATATAGAGACATAAAGAGAGAGAGGATGGATGGGGGGGGGG